ACTTGTCTATCTCTTCTTCCAGCTCCAGGGTATCTTTTCGTCAGTCCTCAGGGTGTGTGCGTTATATGTTGCCAGGTCGAGTCGTCTTAGGTGGCAACCGAACCTCTACCGGAGATTCTTAGCGCCGCCTGCCCCGCCGTTGGCCACCGTAGCCAGCAATAGCATGGTCGCCAGGGATTGGCGTTTCTTCGTAACTTTCATTATGGGGGGTATATTACTATTGTTGCCACGTTTGGCGAGCGGGTTGGCAACCGCAGTTTTTTTATTGTAGTTTTGCTGTTGTCAGAAAAATGCTGCTGCCCCCCTTATGCCTCACTTTCCCTCTGTCGCCTCTTACGACACCCTCGCGAAGATATGGGGTAGTGGATATTCTTATCTGCCACTACACGGGCGGGTAATTAATTCACTTATCATCAAATTGTTGTGATGTTGAATAAATAGGTATGATAGCATTTTATATTTTAACTTAAATAGCAGACATGAAGAACTAAGACCGCCATACACAAATCAGATAAGTAATTTAATATCTTACCTACGAGTATTTCGCTCATAAAACCTAAAATAGTACTTGAACCGTGCCACATACGGAAACGATACATTGATTAAGTCAGTACATTTGCTTTTAAGCTAAGTCCTTTTGTACCTACAGAGTGAACAGTTCTTTTTACCCGACTGCGCGGCAGCAAAGACAGGGTTATGTTTTTCACGCATAGTATCTGGGAATTATGTCCCACATAATTACCAGATACTACGCGGTCTTTACATCCGCGAAGCATGCGAACGGCTGGGTGGATATTGAAATGTCTATGGATTCATCTAAAGTTTAGATGAATTGATGGACACCTGCGGTAGCGATAGCGAAAAACCACCCCCTTCGAAACGGCTGGACCGATTTTGACAGAACTTTTACCACTGACTCACTCACTCATCAAGAGATCTCCAAAACTATTCGCTCAAATTACTTGAAATTTGGCATATATACTCTCTTCTTCGACTTAGGCACCCACTAGGAAAAGATTTTAGAAAATTCATCCTCTGGGGCGTGAAATAGGGTACGTGTACTAAGTATAGAGCAGAAGAACACCTGGTCTTTCTTGTGCAGAATCTCTATATCAATAAACAATCAAAGGTTTGACTTGACGGCGTAGTGTCACAACCCTTCAAAATGAGCTAGAAGTGGAACAAGGATGCATACTAACACTGCAACTATATAATCTTTTGAAGAACATATTATGTGCAGAATATTGAAAAGTCAAACTTTTGAACAACCTTCGGTTCACTGACATCATCGCCGATTCGAACTTTGTTAGTTAGTTTGTTTAACCGAGCTTGCTGACTTACTGCACGTTACAAAATGTTAGCGTTCGGTTTGGACTCGGGAAGAATCACAATTAAATTATTTTTTATAAAATTGTAGTGACCAATGAACTAACAGTTCACCTGATGGTGTGTGTGTGTGGTGTGATGAGTGGCTACTGCAACATATGTACACCTGCAACCTGCAAGCAACTTCAAACAAAGTAGGCTACAGATGCGTTGTCACCTCTGTGGACTGAGATGGAATGCCTCACAGCCTGTAGTTATACTGGTTCTTTGTACCCTTCGAACCTGAAGACAGCAGTACAGGCACTGCTGTTTGACGGGAGAAATAAGTGAGAGTGTGGTACCTATTCAGACGAACTTAAGCAGAAAATGTACCACCTAGTAAACAGATGTTAACATATTTGAGATTAAATCGGAAACAATACAAACGAGAGAACTTTAAAGCTCTGCGACCTTGACAGAGTAGATCAGATAATAGTATCAAACGTTACTTTTCGGAAATCCATTATAATGAAGTTGTTATAATTTAATTTCCTTAAATCCGCGTAAAGAAAGAAAATGATGCGTACTGCTCAGTTTGAAGGGGACCTCCTGCCTTCCTTCAATTGCTTGCACTATACCCGTCACCACCTACTTCCAAAACCACCACACTAGGAACGACACACCACACGCCTTGGTGTGTCACACCTTGGGTATTGTGTACACAATTGAGGGAGGGTGGGAACGAGGTCCCCTTCAAACTGGGCAGGACACATAATTTTCTTTCTTTACGCGGAATTAACCAAATTAAGTTATAACAACTTCAGAGTAGATCACTCTCAATACCTCCGTATTACTAATATGTAGTGACGAAAATGACGTTTCGGGCTAATGCTGCAGAGAAGCGCGGTGAGAAGGATTTGGAGGACTCGCAAAATTTATAAAAGTTAAGTTGACAGTAAATTGGCGGTATATAGTTGAATATTCACTACCACATATGGAGTGAATGAATGAGTGTCTTAAGAGGAGACAGATTAAAATAAACTAGGAGATGGACAAAAGCGGCTTCCATACAAATGGAAAATATAAACTGCGGTTATCAGCCCATAAGTGGCAACTATGGCAAACATCTTCTTTAGAGGCCATCTATGAAGAGGCCTATGTTTAGCTGTGGACTTTAATAGGCTATAACGAATAAAATGAAGGAATGTATAAAAGTTAAAAAATACAGCAAAAGATTTTTTTTTCATTCAATATAAATTGTAAATAACTCTTATGTTTATTTTACCACTGGCTAGGAAAAAACCTCTGTCCTGAGAAGAAGCAGCACGAGACCCAGTGGGACTTTTTATAGAAAAAAAAAAATAGTTTACAACCATATAGTAATATGTTAAACAATTAACAACATAAAACGCAATTAGAAATAGCTTGGTAGCGAGCACCTCGTTCCCAGGGGTTGTTATCATCCATAAATTCCTTAATATACTCAACCGATGCGTCTAATACAACATCGCACCTCATCTCATCTTGTAATATCAGCGACAGCAAGATATGGTACGACTGGGGTTGCCTTTGGTTCACCCTAAAGCCGCGTACATTTATACCAGCAACATTACATGGCATGTTCACCTTATTAAATTCATTAAACGAGAAGTTGAACAGAACTCCAGTTGAAAGGTGCTGTTTAGTAAAAAGTCTGGGCTGTTAACTGAAAGGCTAATTAAGCTAGTTGGTTGCGACCTTCTTATTAGTTTGTGGCAGCGACATATATACAAACCTCTATACTTCCCATAGCTCTTATTTCACACAAACCTCTTATTTCACAGTGGATTACGGAACAATGAGTCTGCCGCCCTGCTCCAGTGGCTGTTCACGTGCTCTAGAAATATTTTATTTCTTACGCATGTGGTAAATCTATACAAATGAATAAAATTGAAGTGTCTGTTTGTAATGTCAAAATAACAACTAAATTACTAAATGCATATAAAAGTATATAATGTAAAACAAAATCACAATTTTTAAATTTCTTGTCTCTCTGTCTGTCTGTTTGTCCCTACGAAAGGGCTGGGCCGATTTCGACGGGACTTTCACTGGCAGATAGCCGATGTTTTAAGGAGTAACTTAGGCTATTTATATTTTAGAAAAATAATTAGAGTTCCGCGCAACATAATTAAAATCCTAAATTACACGCGGGCGAAGTCGCGAGGTACAGCTAGTCTTTAATAAAACTCTTAAAATTGCGACTAAAAATTTGAATGGTGCCGATGGGCATCGAACGTAGGTTGCACAGGTACCGTGAAGTTTGCGGCGAGGGCTTTGCTCCAGAGATACCACGGTCCTTCGAAAAATCTATATAATATGTAACTACCAGGGCATCATAATCGAATCAGCGACAAAGCCCTTAGTCTATAAATAAAAAAATCTATAAATGCGTAGTATCCTCTTAGTAGTCTGTGATCTATAGTAATACATTTAAAACCATATCGAACTCTAATTACAATTCTACGTAAAGTACCTATCCAAAAAACCTGTATACTAAATTGTAAGCTAAAGTATACACACTAGATTGTAAGCTAAAGTATACTTACTTACATTATAATTATGTATAACGTCTGTCGATATATTGCTCTGTTACCTACATTCTTGTTTCAGATAGAAAACGAAAATAAATTAACTTGTATGTAATTTTAACCGACTGCAACAAAATCACTTACAGTGTGCATAAATACGAGTACATCATGCGGCTATCAAGTTTAGAATTACACCCCAGTCCCAGGCATCGAACCACATCTTGCAAAAGCGCCGTTGTAACGGATATCACTTGGTCACGGCTCAAATAATTTATGTATTCTTACAGAAACCATCAATTCAAACATTAAAATTTATTTTCAAGATTAATTAAATTCAAGATAAAAATACATTCATTGCAATTATTTCTGTTCATATTATTTGTAAATGTTATTTAATTATACAAAATACATCGTAAATCATTGTTAAAAAAAAGTTGAAAGTGGCACAGCTATGCTGCAGCTACATTATGGACGACGCTCTCACAGACTAAGTAACTGCAGGAGGACATCTCTCCCGTTTGCCATCGCTTAAAAAAAGCCTGTGACTTTGGAAGTACCAGTCGGGTTTCGAGCAATAAAAAGCATCAACCACTTTTAATAGGTATTACTTGTTACCTTTATTGAATAAAAATTGTTTTAATCTGCTTCCCAGAATGGTGGGCACTGATTGTGGGTTTGACATTCCCTTCTTTCGCTCATCACACATGCTGAAGGTTATGTGAATGCTTCTTACTGGCCATCGTCACGCAAAAATAACTAAATTAGGTAGAATTCAATTTTTAAATTTTACAAAAATGCAAGCTTTACTCTTCAAACTTCTTTACGATTTTTGGCGCCATATCTATAACGTGACAGGGATTGAACGAATTACCCGCATAAGTATGACTGTCTCGAACTTCCGCTTGTTGGATAGTTACAGTTTAATTTTGTTTTCTGATTATAATCCAGTGCTTGACCACAATCCCACCTGGTGGTAATTGGTGATGAAGCCCAAGGTGGTAAATCGTACTGTCTTAACGTAACAAAAGCCTATTCACTCTCGCCTTGAAGACGCTCAGAATGTATTCGCACGGAAACACATGCAGATTGCCAGTGACGTGTTTGACATTTGTTTTTTTATCGTTGAGGATGAGGTGGCCGCGGGCGTGGACTAGCGCGCGGCTGTGCGCCGGCGTGGCGCTCACCATGTCGCTCAGCATCACCGCCGGCCGCCGCGACTACAAGGACTTCGACGTCAAGCAGGCCTCGGACATCTCGCTCTGGATCGACGAGCGACAGGTCCGCATGTTTAGTGGTAGGTTTGACAACAAATTATTGGAACTATAGAAATTAATATATCCAACAATCAAATATGATTGTAGATATAGTTTTCATCGTATGATTATACGTGATAGAGCTACACTGCTGCTGTTTTATGTTTGCAGAACTAATGGGTCGGATAAACCAGGAAAGGACCACGCTCTCACAGAATACCAGCGTAAAAAACAGCTTAATGCTGCTGTGTCGCGTGTAGAAAACTGGAGACTTATTGGTAATGAGGCATCCTTAGTTCTCACGGTTGACAATAAAGATTTAAAATGTAGATGCATTTTGAATCTTAATGGAAAATAGATGTCGGTGTCTATAGGCCACAACATACACTAACCATCAGGTGGGCTGTACGCTCGTTTGTCACCCCTATTCTATATAAAAAATATGAATTTCACGTTCTTTTGCGTAATTCTCTAAAATCGCATTTTTTTTATAGAATAAGGGTAACTAACGAACACACAGTCCACCTGATGGTAAGTGGTTGCTGTGACCCATAGACATCTACATTTATCCTCAATAAAGAATAAAAATGCAGATGCGTCGTTACCCGTGAGGACTAAGATGGAATGCCTCTTTTCCAGTAAAAAGGGTCTCCGGTTCTCTACACTCACCATACGAAACACAGCAGTGTCAAGCTGCCATTTTACGCTGGTATTCTGTGAGAGCGTGGTCCTTCCCCGGTCGAACCGACCCATTCGTGCTACAACTATACTACTAATATAGCTGCAGCATGGCTCTACCACGTCAAAACGCATTTGATAGGGATTCCATTTTTACATTTTTTAGTCTTCTTTATCAGCCTGTAATACCTAACAGTTCACAGCTAAACATTGGCCTATGTTCAGCAGTGGGCTATTTAAGGTTAAAATATTGGTATTTAATTAAGACTTACTATCGAAGGCCCACGAGGTGTCTGGCCTTTCTCATAGTTGCCTTGTACAGCACCCAAGAGTTTAGAATAGGGTGATGCATTTTATAATACCGCCGCCATACGGCTAATGACGATGGATATTCTTACGTTGCCACCATACAGGTAAGGTAATGTTAAATCGCATTTCCGAATTAAAATATAAAGTGCGTAGAATTATAGCGCGGCGTTTGAGGTTTTTATATTAAACAGAAAGCTGAAAACGATTAAAAGTAGAAAAGTAAAATTATATAATTTAGTAATTTATTAATGTTGGTTATAAATGTTTTTTTTATATTCTACTAAGCCAGCGCTTATCTACGATCCCAACTGATGGTAAGTGGTGATGTAGCCTAAGATGGTGAAGCGCACTGACTTATCAAAAGCCTATTCACTCTTGCCTTGTCCAATGAAATGTCCAATTAAAACCTCACGAAAACAATACTACTCCCCATATCATCCCGTGGGTACCGTAAGAGGTGACAGAGGGAATAGAATTGGAGATGAGAAGCTGCATCTTCCTGTTAACAATTTTTTTTATAGAAATAGGGTGATAAACGAACACACAGTCCAACTGATGGTAAGTGGTTGCTGTGGCCCATAGACATCTACATCTATCTTCGTTTGCGAATTAAAATGCAGGTGCGTTGTCAACCGTGAGGACTAAGATAGAATGCCTCTTTTCTGGTAAAAGGGGTCTCCGGTTCTCTACACTCACCATACAAAACACAGCATTAAGCTGCTATTTTACGCTGGTATTCTGTGAGAGCGTAGTTCTTCGCCGTTCATTCGTGCTACAACTATACTATTAATATAGCTGCAGCATGGCTCTACCACGTAGAAATTAAATAATGAAATTGCATGGCAACTATGGCAAATGTCACCGCCATAAGGAAATCTATAAACGATGTGTTGTAATGATGACGATGATTAAAAAAATGTATACTAAACTTAAGCGTAATCATATAAGTAATTTTATAATTCCAGGCATATCTATGCAAGTATTCGCGATACTCAATGGCCACATATCCCCGTACATATTGGACCCCAATTTTTCACACAAGCTGCCCACGATCCCGTCGGAAGTCGGCTATGTGAACTTCACGTGGCGCTCCAAGAAGCGTTACCACTATAACTTCGACACGCTGACTTCCTCCGACCCAAAGTTGTTAAAGCCGCCTGTCCTCTCTATAAAAACTCAAGGGCGGGTGCCTAAAGCTCCGAAAGGTATTTTTCATTTTTTTTATTATAATAATACAGTGACAAACGTCTCGAACGTGACTTTCACTTGATGGCAAATGTAGTTTTAAAAACTTCTCAACAAATAGCAGACCTTAGTTATATCATAATTGTTTCAATTGCTTGCTTTTTTGCTTTTTGAATAAAAAATAAGCGACATCTATAAGGTCAAATTTTTGGTCATACAACGCTAGACAGTTTTAATGAGAGCACATAGTCAATGCGGGCAGTAGCATTACCAGTGTGAGAACACTGGAAATGCTACTGCCGCTAAGTCTTTTAAATGGATATACCGCCTCCCCCTCTCGTTCGACAATTGGCGAGATATAATGGTGTGAACATTATCCTTTATTCATTACAGCCCATCCCAAGTTACCCAAATTTTAAAAAACGTTAACGACACATATCATTATAAAAATTTTGTGATTTCCAGGCTTGGCAACTATGGCCATAATCCCTCTTATGATGGTATTCTATGGGGGAGGCCTACGTTCAGCAGTAGACTTTAGTTAGGCTGTAATGATAGTGACGATTACATCTTGAAATTTTGGACCGTAACGCCTTGAAAATACAGTAGTGCCCCTATTTGATTTGAAGGATATTTTTGTATTCTTAACAAGTACATTACATTCCGTACGTATCAGAGCCGTGGTTGCTCGGATGGTTAGCGCTCGCACTAAATTACACAGTACGCGAGCAACCCAGCTTCGATTCCCGCCGGCACCAATTAAATTGTTAAATGCAATTTTAAGTGCTGATTTACCACTGACGTGCTCGGCGGTGAAGGAAAACATCGTGAGGAAACCTGCATGTCTAAGAAATAAGAAAAAATTATTTCAAAGAATGTGAAGTTCGCCAACACGCATTGGGGCAGCGCGGCGGACACTTACTTGCCCTAAAACCCTCTCAGAAATTAGAGGCGGCCTGTGCCCAACATTGGGACGTATATATGCTGTAACTTTAACTTTACATTCTGTAAAAATAATTTTAGAGAATGTAAAGTTATTAAAAAGTGATAGTGCAATGTTTTAATTATAAGAAAGATTTTATTATTTACTTATTTTTTAGTATTATTTTATTTTATTTGAAATTTATTGTAATGGGTCCAGGTTTTGTAGTTTCTAATTCCTACGCATCTCTACATTTTGAAACACCTGGTGATATCTGCGAATTGTGTACCACAGAGTATATAATGACTACATTTTAGTGTGTTACGCACATACGTTGCTAGAGTAGAAATGCACATTGTACATTTAAGCCGACTTAAAAAGGAGGACGTTATCAATTCGATCATGAATCAATAAATAAATTTTGAAATTTATTGTGGTTCCAAAAATATAAGGGTGGAAAAATAGGGAATTACGTTTGTAATATTACTGTTTAATTGGGCTTGTGATATTTCTAAGTCCATTCAAAAGGGCCAAAAATTAAATTTTTAATAAAAAGTAAAAACTGCCTTTAAAGAACTGAAAATAAAACATTTTTATAATAGCTTCTGAAGCTCTCATTTATTCATTCTGATGCATTCATTCTTTAATACCATCTCCTTGCGCTGACTTCAGAAGCTATTATGTGCAAATTATTTTAATCTTTTCTGTTCTTTGAAGTCGATGTTAACTTGTTATTAAAATATTAATTTTCATCTCGTACATTTTATGAACAAATAATGATACTAAATACTAATTCAAAAAAGTTTGAGAAGCAATGTTCTAGATTAATTAAAAATATATAAAGAGTGCTCAAAATATTTTTTCATACTTAAGACGTTTCCCTGACCAAATAACCTTGAGTATTCGTTCCCTCTTTAGACGTACGCCGCTTTATCATGGAATTCACACAATTTTTGGAATTATTTTAATTAAATAAGAAAAAACGAACTTTAAAAATTAAGTAAAACGTGAAGAATATAGATTTATAATTATCTAGTAATTAGTATATTCCTCAAATGATTAGAGCGTTGCCTTTAGCAACAGATGCATGTAATCAATAATTTTAGTCATTTTTTAAAGGTAGATTTTAAATGTATTTATAACACATAAAAACAAATTAGAACGTGGAATGTGATGATAGGATATCGAACATTAATAATGTGCTTTTATATGTAGTTTATTTCTCATAACTAATGAGATAATAGTCTCTGAAAAACACACTATCGCAAGGTTTTGGTCGGGGTATCGCCTTAACTAGAAAAGTATTGTTCACAGAGTTCAGTATATTTTTGATATGCCTGGGCAACAACAGTGGCGTGGCGACATTTGAAATAGGGCTCGTGCTTAAAAATGGCCGAGGCATACCACTAAAAGGCACCCCTCTAAGATTAAATCTAAAGAAGGAATGCGCACAGAGAGGTGTGTATTTAGAAAGGACAGGTATTGTATCGCCCACGCATTTTTAACACTACAACGCTTGCGTTTCTGTTATTGTCGAAGAAAAAATATTTGTATCAAATAAATAAAATAAAAAGTTCTGAAATCGTTTATCGCAATCAACTGTAAAAGGCTAACTAAAATAAAGAATATTTAAGAGAATTGTATTTTTGCAATGCTGGTTAGTAAAAACTATAACAGAAATAAAAAAAAAACGCAATAACAGAAACACAGGCGTAACGCTTTTTATTTTTTCTTTGCTGATTATCCCATAACAAATTTTCTACTGCTTTCAAATTGTCATAAAGAATCTATTAAATCTCATAGCTTTGTTGGTAATCGTAAATCATGTGAAAACCAAGACGCAATAAGTACTTACTAAAACTTTGCATTTCAACTATTTCCACCTACGAACGTCGCTTATTTTACTAATAATACATATATTGACCGTCGTTTAAAGTATAGCTGCTACAACCAGTCACTGTTATGCTTTTCAAATACACCAAAGCTCGTGTGCTCGGCTCGAACAATACGGCAATTGACGTTTTATGAGCCTATTGTTAACAATTTTAATGAATAAATGTTTTAAACAATCCTTCATAATAATTCGTGGTGAAGACATAACAATAAAACATTAAGAAATATTTAGTATTTCAAAAGAAACGAGACCTGGTATTTTGACTGCAAACTGTGGATATGAAAGAATTGTTTAGAGGTTTTAAAATATACTGAGCATTCAATTTTAAATATGCTATAAAACTGACTCGATCTATACTTTAGTTAAAAACAGGTTTTAATCTTTTATTTTAATTTCATACGATGATTAAAATAAAATTTATCAATCTCAAGCAGCTATACATGTTGATATCATGATTATATGATATGTTATTTTCCAATCAAGAACAAGAAGCTAATTGTAGCAAACGTGTTTGTAACCTTTTCTTGCTAAGTGCCTAATATTCATTGTTCATATTTACTAATGTATATAAGAATATATTGTATTTATTAAAACGTTTTGTCGTTTGTATCTTAGTATGTTATACTTACTAATATTGCAATTAAAAGTACGATCTCGGCTATGTACGCCGACTTATATTAACCAGAATGCGTTATTTTCCGGGTGCCTTTTCATCGAGTACGCTGATTGGCTGAATTCACGGTGCCTCTGCTCACATCATTTGCGTTTTTAGGTTGGTACACGCTTGCTTTGTAATAACAATAATCCAAATACTTCTTTTATTAGTTTTTATGTATAATATAACTGATAAAAACAATTCCTTTTTAGAGAATAAAGTGCACCTTAAAAACATAATGTAAAAAAAATCGGCTAGATCACTTTATTCTCCCTGTAAAATACTGTACAGTTTATATGTAGGTAATGTAATAGTATTTTTAGTCTTATTTTTTACACTAACATGTTACTACAACTAAGTATATGCCCGCAAGATGAGAATAGTTTTGGGTTAACTGATAACTTTACTCCTCTCTAAGCGTTAATTTTCTTATTAATGAGGGACGCTGCCATTTTAAAATGATAACTTTAATTAGTTCACAACATAAAATAAAGGAAAGTTAATATTTTTACCGTGTACTGGCGGTGTTAGATAGAATATACACCACCCTATATCGTACTGTGGATATCAAGAGGCAACAGAAAAAAACTGAAACAGGTTATGGCCATCAGTATCTTCCTGATAAAAACTCAAAATATTAAAAAAAAACTGCATTAGCATATCCATAGATGCAATATTTATTAAATGTATTTTTTTTATAGAATTAGGGTGACAAACGAACACACATTCCACCTGATGGTAAGTGTATACTGTGACCCATAGACATCTACATCACAGAGTACTTTTTATATACATCTACATCTTTCCTCTGTTAAGAATCAAAATGAGTGTGATTTTCGCACACCTATACATTAGTGCGGATTCCTTAGTAAAATGTCAGTTTGAGAGACTTACATTTATCTTGCGCGCATAGCAATATTTACTATACATTTTATAAGATAACATTAGATATACAATTGTGGTTTGAAACACTGAAGTAATATGTACTTCATACTAGTACAAACACTGCGGACAAAATACCTTTATATATACGAGTACCTTTTTGTGGCAAATACTAAGTAAGTTTGAGCCTTTGTGTTCTAACGCGTGTTGCAAACAACCAAGTAGACTCTTCTAGTACGTAGTACATATTACGTCAATGGTTTGAAATGTTTTACGTGGTAGTCATGCTGCAACCGAGGACGGAACACGCTCTCAAGCATAGAGTAAAGAATAAGGACCAGAGGGGAAGCTTCTTAACAACGTCGAAAATGTATATGTATTCTGATAGGGTTGGCACATAATGCATGTGAAAAATTTAAGGAAAAAATGGTGGTGGTGATGGAGCCACTGTTGGTCCACTGCCTACTACCACTACCTACGATACTACCACCTCCACCACTACTGACACCATCAGCAACACTATCCACCAACACCAGCACTACTTCCACCAACACCAGAACTACTTCCACCAACACCAATCCCATCACCCCCACCAATATCTGGCGATTGTATTCCAACCATAATGCAGTGGTATTTACCCCTGGGGTCACGACTCGCAAAAAGTAGCTTATATCCTTCCCCAGGAAGCAACCTACCTCTATACTAAAGTGGGTGGATAAAGTCACACATTTAGCCTTATTACGTAGGATATCCTGCTATCTGCAGCACTGTCAGGGTTAAACTGACTAACGTTTCAAGTAGGTGAGACCGACTTCATCACACGGCGACGCACCTGTCTAACACAGTCTCACTTACCTATAAATGTTATTACCTAGTTTTATTGTATATAAAACGTAAAAAGGTACTTAGTTCACTTGATCTCTTGGGTACAAAAAAAGGAAATATCGTTATTTTCTCTAGAATTATTCATGTATACTGTACAACTATTAGTCATTTTTGCTTATACAAAACACTTATTATTTACCTATATAAATTTATAATAACTTGATTCTTAATTATTTTAATTAAAACATTAAATCTAATTATTTAATAATTGCAAAAAAACTTAATAAATTAATTGATGTATAAAATTTCGAAATATTGTTGGTCTATTTATTTAAATGCGCACGACTAACAGCCCTTTCATGGATACTCTGACTGAGCCGGCGCAAACCGGTTTGTACCCCGACGGAGCGTCGGTGAACCTGTCGGTGAGAGCTCACGCACACATCGCTGCGCTATGTATGGGTGTATTCGCCGCGAGCCGTTTGTATGTGCTTCCCCTCTGGTCGGTTTCTTTACTCATGTGCTCTCAAGTCCGCAGGGGTGACAAGGTATTTGCTTTATGATTCTCAATCGACGATAATTTATTCTCATCCTCGATTAATTAATTTAATCGAGGATGGTTTACTGTGTCCTCTAACACGTGAAACAACCAAGTAAAGTGGCTCTAGTACGTAGTACATATTACTTCAATTGTTTGAAACGAAAGTTGTGACGCGCACAGGGCCGGACCCGGAGTGCGACAAAAAGTGCGCCAACCAGGGCTGGTGCAACCACGAGAAGATCTGCCAGTGCCCCGAGGGCTACATGGGGCAGCACTGCCGCACGGCGCTGTGCTACCCGCAGTGCATGAACGGCGGCAACTGCACCGCGCCCGGCCTCTGCTCCTGCCCACCCGGCTACCAGGGACGACATTGCGAAGGAGGTACACACTTTCTCCATCCTTCTCCACCTCTCTCCACGAACCATTTTCTACATGTATTATATACACTAACACACCACAACACATTACGTTCACATTCACAAAAATATTGCAGTAGAATCTCGATATCTCTAATCTTATTATTGTGTAACTGTACTGCATATTATTTCAAAATAAATAAAAAAAGAACCGACAGTCTACTGTCGGATGGATTAGGAACCTAACAGGTAAATACCGTTCGATCAGATATATTACATTTATAAAGGATGGTGCGAATAGAATGAATACATGGTAGTAGGTAGGTAGTACGAAATGGTATGTTCGACTGGGTAAGGACTACGCTTCGCAGGTAAGTTTCTTTTTCTGCCTGGATATTCTTATCTATCTCTGCCGCCAAAAACCAGTGCTTGCACTGCTGGAACTGACGGGTATAAAGAGTATGTAATAGTATAATTACAGGCTAATAAAAAACTAGATACACAATCAGTGACAAAAATGTCCTAACCGAATAAGCGCCCACTAGAACATTTGGGTGCGCTTTTAATTTGTACGTAGCTTTGAGAATACAACTTTAGGCAATGCACTTAAGGTTGAATTTACATTAATGTATATTTATTGCAACTTTAATAGAACTAGAATTACGTCAAAACAATTGGAGACAGTTTTCCCTTCGTTCTCATATTATATGACACTCATGTGTAACCTCCTACTTTGTTTAAAGTTGACTGCAAGTATCCATGGGCTGTATTAGCCACTTACCATCAGGTGAACTGTAAAGTTCGTTTGTCATTTCAATTTATTAAAAAAAAAACTTCAAGAAAACATCCCTGAGGAATATGTCGAAAAGCCTATGATCTCTTTACCGGCACTAACTAGATGTACAATAGTGGATGCACTGTGAGACTGCAGAAGTACTCCTCACCCAGACGGAATCTTACACAAAATTGTACCCAAATCTATTAACCATTCAATATAAACCAGCTAGAATAGAATAGAATATTTATATTCAATCTAGTTTATTAATACTTATTGAAACTCAATGATTTACTTACCACTGGTTCGAAAAATACCTCTATCCTGGGAAGAACAAGCAAACAACCCCATAAAATTAATTTTCGTTGCTCTGGCCTATTGCCAGTTATATCGTGCCATGTCATGCTCACAGTCACAGTGCCTTGTGTTTCGCTATATTACAATCTGAACTTTAGTGTTCTCGATTATGGTCTGTTTCCTGTCAAGATTTTGGAAATCTGGTGGTGGGTGTACTTATTCAATAGTTATTGCGTATTGCTGCCGTTGAATCTCGAAAGATCTTCTCGGTTCTATATTTAAATTACTTAAACGAAGGTAGGTGATGGATCTTCATACGTCTTCACGACAAGGAAAATCATTTTATAATATTAGATAATAATAAAAACATTTTTATTTTATAATCAAAACTATATTCACGTATATTCAGCATGTAGACATTTCAAGTCCATTGTTTCATCTATTTGCCTATATTACTATTATCACAACACCTTTAGGTAAAATGCAAATCTATTAAATTTCAAATGGTTAATTGAACGTAGATGCGCAAAAAGGCTCCAAACCCACAGTCGCGTCAAAAATTAGTTACATATTCAAAAATAAGGATTTTGGATCTATTATTTCATTCTATAAAAGAAATTCCAACAAACTCTCTGTCGATAGAGAAAGAGTCTTTATAACCAAAAGCTGACATGAAAACATGAATGATTTATAAAAAAAAAATTACTTCCTTCACACTTTACACGTCAATATTTCAAAAGTAAGCCTTTTGTGGGTTAGATACTTTTTGCGTAACGACGTCCAATTACTTTTGAGCTTTTCTACGTAGAAAAGGCACAGAGTAATTCACAAAATAAAAATAAAAAAGTTATTACAACAACAGTTAGTTCTGAGATGGTACTTAACAATACAATCGTGACTGCTCTACACTATCGGCTCCTATTTGCTTGCACAAATGATTAGAATATAATATATTCGATTATAGAATATAATCGTTCTTTCATATAAGAATGTCGAAGGCGCAGAGATAGGCAAAGGAGGGAGCGATGGATCAACAACATTGTCTCCTTCCAAGACGGATGTACTAAATATTGGTTATTTTTCGTTATACAATATCGGATATATATCTGTCTCTCATTTTAAAAAAAGAAAAAAGAAATATCATACGAAATCGCGTTCACGAGAAATGGCATAAGGCAGGAGAGGCCTTTGCCCTGCAATGGGTCAATAAAGTGAAAATCAGCTCATTGATTACAAAATTGTAATCTTTAATTCTATTTCTTATGTTATGGTTGTTCTTATAAAAATTATGTCTTTATCAGGTATAAAAATGTTATAAAAACTTACTTAGAAGCTTCCACATTTAGCAAGAACGAAGTTTTGGATTTCTACTGTGGAAAATGTTGTTCAAAGTCTGGAGTTTCAATAATCTCAGTTTTTTTTATTTACAATTAAAAAATTCTTCAGTTCCATAATATGTTCTAAATAGTCTTCGATATCGCAATTGCGACTTTGCAACCCGTTTTAATGGCTTCAGTGAGCGCTTTGTAAAATGGCGCCTGTTCTGCGCCATGGTCGAGTCCCGTATCGTGGTGCTCCTGCTCCTCGTCGCGGAACTTCGTAATGGTCTCCAGGATCTCTTTATCGACGTTCGGGTCCTCCATCAGGGTGCGGAGCTGGTCGTTGTAGTGGTCCACTATGACGGTCTCAACCGCGACAGTGCAGGCCATCGCAGCTTCCTTGCCCAAGAGCGCTGTGCCTGTGAATATTTTTAATGAGACTTTTTCCTACCCATTTCGATGACAGATGACAGACTTATTAATACTAACGATAGCTATCAACTTCATAGAATAATATCAGAGTGCTACAAATGTAGTGTGTATATCGCTTACTTAAGTATTAATTATCTCTATATCTGTCTCTTTCTTTTGTAGTTTCGTGAAAAGAGATTAAATTTAAGCGTTTCTAAAATTTAGGCCGCTTTTTATGAGTAAGGCCATTATTCTTTTAGAGACTATTCAACTCCAATAAATGACTTATACGATAAACTTGAAGACGGGCTTTGTTGAATGCAGTGATAAAGACAATTACAACTCGTTCAGACTTGAAAACCAATATTTTTTGCACAAATGTTAAACTACTAACTCTTTCGCCACCACGTGCCGATACATGAACAAATAAAAATATCTTTACCCACCCACCAAGTCGTGTGGTGGCGGGGTTTAGAGAATCCATCAACCCATTTTATCCCGTAGGTGTAGTAAGACGCAATTGGAAGCAGTATTGGGTTTTCTGACGTGAAATTCTCAGTGGCAGCCCGGAGTCAGGAAATTGGCGATGTTACACCCCCGAGGAAAAGCACGTTTTTTTTTATAGAATTAGGTCGACAAACGAACACACAGTCTACCTAATGGTAAGTGGATGCTGTGACCCATAGACATCTACATCTATCCTCGATTTCTAATCACAATGCAGGTTCCAGTAAAAGGGGTTTCCGGTTAATATAGCAGCATTAAGCTGCTTTTTTTCGCTGGTCGAGTCGACCCATTCGTGCTACAACCATAGTATAGATGCAGTGTGGCTCTACCACGTTTAAATGCACTTAAAGCAGTTGGTCCTGCGCCTGAGTCGTGTCGGATTACCGTCCCATCGGACTAAGGGAAAAGAGGGTGCACCTGTGCTTTCGCATACACTCGGGCACTATAATATTGTCCTGCTCAGATGGCTAGTCTCCGTTGAAATTGGTCACCGTGACCGAAATTCGGTCTGGAGGACATTATTATTATTAAGATGCAAAAGTGGGAAATTTCAGACAGATCTACAGGAGGCATTGGTATCAATATCATTAACATCAGACATATAATAGCCAGACTGGCGACGGGGTGCATTGTCAAAAAGTGTAGTTTTTTTTTAATAGTACGGTAGTGACAAAGGGGTGCACAGTCCACCTGATGGTAAATGAATACTGTGACCCATAGATATCTACATTTATCTTCCAATAATAATCAAAATGTAGATGCGTTGTCACCCCGGAGGACTAAGATGGAATGTCTCATTTCCAGTAAAAAGCGTCTTCGGTTGTTTAGACCCACCATACGAAACACAGCAGCATTAAGCTGATATTTTATCCTACACCGGTCTTGCCGACCCATTCGTGCTACAACCGTAATATAGCTGCAGCGTGGCTCTACCACTTATAATAACGAAATTATATACATGTATATATATATATATATATATATATATATATATATATATATATATATATATATATATATATATACTTAGGGACCTTCAAGAAAAGAACCCACTCCTTTTTAAAAGGCCGGCAACGCATCTGCAATTCCCCTGGTGTTGCGATTGTTCATGGGCGGCGGTAGTCGCTTACCATCAGGTGAGCCGCATGCTCGTTTGCCCCCTCTCCTATAAAAAAATAGTACCGCGATGGTGACGAAGGAAAACATCTTTATTTGGATTGTAATAGTCTTGGAAATGGACTTACCGTTGCCTATTGTTGTCTCTATATAGTTGGGGTCCTTTTCCCCTAGGAATCTTGCCTGGGTAGAAATAACCTATTACCTGTTTCTACCGCCAAGCAAAAATACGCCATAAGTCACATGAGGGAAGTAAAAGGGACAATGTAAAAGCAAGCTGTAAGACATTTTATCTTAGTCCTTACGGGTGGCAATCTTCTTCTTTCAACTTTCGGCCTTCCTTTTTAAAAAAAAACAATTGCTGTCCATGATCGCCATCATATCCCATAAAACACCAGTGCAGCGCGCATTCACCACGACTTCATATTATATCATTCACTGTAGGAACTCTACCGAATACTTTATGGAGTTCCCTATTACATATCACACCAGACATGCATAACTTTACATCAAACCCTATATAAAATTGTATTGGATTTTTATATCTGATATTGAATTATGTATATATATATATATATATATATATATTATTACGTGGTAGAGCCATGCTGCGCAGCTATATTATGGTTGTAGCACGAATGGGTCGGCTAGACCGGGGAAGGACCACGCTCTCACAGAATACCAGCGTAAAATAGCAGCTTTACGCTGCTGTGTTTCGTATGGTGAGTGTAGAGAACCGGAGACCCTTTTTACTGGAAACGAGTCATTCCATCTTAGTCCTTACGGGTGACAACGCATCTGCATTTTGATTCTTAATCGAAGATAGATGTAGATGTCTATGGGCCACAGCAACCACTTACCATCAGGTGGACTGTGTGCTCGTTTGTCACCCTTATCCTATATTTTATCCTATTACACCCTTATTCTATATCCTATATTTTATATTATCCTATATATATATATATATATATCGGTTGATATCTACGTGATTCTGTAAGGAAGTCAGTATTCGGTACTACAGGGTGATACGAAATTTTTGATGGATTCTTAGCTTTATAGATATACGAGTATTGTAATATGTAAAGTTCTATGTATATCCTACAACGAAGAGTCGGTATATAATGTATATCTGTTTAACACAAATATAGTATCTCGTATTGTTTCGCGCGCATATGGTTCGTTCGAATTGCGAATCAGTGTATCATATCAATGATATTTTACGTTATTTCTTCGAGTACAATGTTAGGTGTTCTGTAAAGTGACGCTGTAATGGAGCGGTATCTAACACACAGTTAGTCTGTTAGACGATATATTGGATATTTTTCCGATACTACATATCGGTACATCCAACATGTATCTATCTAATATTACATCTATATTGTATCTATTTGTATCGCCTACTACTACTGGACACTCAGGCTTTAATGTTGCGAGTGGCTACGTACTTATCATCAGGTCGGCTGTTCGCTCATTTGCTACTCTAAAATGGCGCCCAAAGTTGCCAATTTTATAATTGTCGAATCAATTTTTTTTAATATTAATTATTTACCAGCGCCCAAGGCAAATCCAGCGATATTCCACAGTGGCGTCATCACTGTAGGTCTGACGCGGTACTTGCAGATGAGTTCCTCGAACTTCTGCCGGTGTTTCTTCTCTTGGTCCCACATGTGCTTTATCAGTGGTCCTTCGGCCGTATTACCCAGAACAGCCATCTGTCCTGCGTATATACGGTCCGCACCCAGTTCGCCTGCGTGGTCCACGCGTATTATTTTGTCCAGCTGTTAAAAAGCGTTTCTGTTAAGATCTCTTAGCATGATTACTGAAGTATGTTCCATGACAAACAATTGGAGCAATTTTTAGTTACTTACTAATTTTTAGTCTTAAAGCTAGTAAGTAAGATAAAGTGGCAATAGCCCGGCCATATAACTCGAAGAACCTACAACCGATGGGGATGAAAGGTTCTCGAGTTGCAGCCTCGTATGTATAAGCGTAGTGTACGGCGGTCCCCCAGTAGATGGAGTGACCTGGTAAGAAACACAGGAAGTAGATGCATGGAAAGCGGGTGGCTTCGTGAAATACTTGGTAGGTCTATTTTCAGCAGTGGACTTGCGATGGGAATCCCACCCAACTAGAACATAACTGAAACTGAGAGAAATAAGAATATAAGTTTGTTACAGATGAGAAACGATTAGGGTAAAACAGTTTTATAATTAGTATGAAAATTTTATCGGATGGCCACAGTATTCATTTCACATTTCACACAATCTCCAACCAATTGATCTCACCAATATAGAGCTCGGTCACATTGGCTCTTATTTTCCAGAATTTATCTTTGGAATTAACTAAGAGCACAGGGACATTCTCTTATTATGTACAAATCACATGTCTGGTTGTTGAGGAGTACAGCTGACACATATGAATTGGTGCTACTTATATATCAACTAGCCACTTGGACTCGTGGAGAGACGTGCCAAGAGGCATTAGGGTGATATGCTTGACCTGACCCTAATCTGTACAAATCACAGGTCTGGTTCTTGAGGAGTGCAGCTGACACAAATGAATTGGTGCTACTTATATATCAACTAGCCACTTGGACTCGTGGAGAGACGTGCCAAGAGGCATTAGGGTGATTTGCTTGACCTGACCCTAATCTGTACAAATCACAGGTCTGGTTGTTGAGAAGTGCAGCTGACACATATGAATTGGTGCTAATTATATATCAACTAGCCACTTCGGACTCGTGGAGAGACGTGCCAAGAAGCATTAGTGTGATATGCTTGACCCGACCCTAATCTGGTATCTGCCAAACTGCTTACCCTTGATCACAAACATGTTCGCAAATATCTCAGTTTTAGCTTATATTTTGAAGTGTTCAAGAATTATACGATGTATTTGTCCACATCAGCATCGACAACAAGACGCATGGCGGGTTTACATCTTTCCTCATCATTGTTCCCAACTGATATTAATTACGAAGCAATGATCTCATTTGAAATAAATACAGCAAAAATTGGAACGATTTGCCTGCATCACAGAATCCGTATACAATGTTTCATCGAGAGAACAAATAAGTTTTCACTAAGCCAGTGCAAGCATACGTGGAAGAGTCACGCCGCAGCTATACTATAGTTGTAGCACGAATGAGTCGACTCGACGGAGAAAGACCACGCTCTCACAGAATACCAGCGTAAATAAATAAAAAAGTAGCAGCTTAATGCTGCTGTATTTCGTATGGTGCGTGAAGAGAACCGAAGATCCTTTTCACTGGAGACGAGTCATTTCATTTTAGTCCTCAGGGTGACAACGCATCTGCGTTTCGATTCTTAGTTAGGGATGAATGTAGATGTCTATGGGCTACAGAATTCACTTATCATCAGGTGGACTGCGTGCTCGTTTGCCACCCTTATTCTATAAACAAATTATCACCCATGACTGCACAACTTAACATCAGATGGGATAATAGCGAAGAGCTAGTTATTTATAAAAGAAATGATCTTACATTAGGATTTTTCTTCCACGTGGCCGAATGAGCCCTTCGCACATGATGCAATATTGGCGGTCGCAGCATGTTCTTAAACTGGAAAGAGGTAACAAGAAGTATTTTAAACAAAGATCTAATGCATGGTCTATAAGGAACCAGTAAATACTCGTAAATACTATTCGTAAAACAAAATATAGCGTTGAGGCTTCTTTTTTTTTTCATTTATTTAAATGACCACAAACCGATTCACAATTAAATAAATATATATAAAACAGATTAGAAGAAACCCAACAGATTATGAAGTAACTAATAAACATTAATACACGTGTGTATATCTGTGAGTGTGTGTGTGTGTGTGTGATGTGTACGCGCGCGCGTGTATATGTGTGAGTTTGTGTAAGAGTGGAGGTAGGTATGTATGTGTTAGTGCGTGTGATTTCAATGAGTTATGTGAAAAATCAGGGGTGGATGTCTAGGCAGTGCCAAATAGACAAGGCACCACAAGCCTGACTGCCCTACGGCAGCTGCGACCTTGGGTTCAGATACGTGTTTGGCAGAAGTGTCTGTTTGTAATGTAAAATAACAGCTTTTTAGTAAATGCATATGAAAGTATATACGGTACTTATAACAAAAACATATTTTTTTTTAATTTTTGTCTATTGGTTCGGACAAATCTCCGAAACGGCTGGACCGATTTTGACGGGAAATTCACTGGCAGATATGTAATGTTATAAGGAGTAATTTAGGCTTTACTTTTATTTTAGAAAAGGAATTAGGGCTCCGCGCAAAAAAAAAAACATAAAATCCAATCGTAATAAATTCCACGCGGGCGAAGTCGCGGGTAACAGCTAGTAATATCATAAAATAGAGGGAAAGGCAATAATCAAAACCAATGTCTGTTTCCTGAGTTTGTAATCCATGTAACATTATCTTTCTTTCTAGGTATATGTTCGCAGAAATGTCTGAATGGAGGGAAATGTATACAGAAAGACACCTGTGAGTGTCCGAAAGGATACTATGGACTTCGGTGCGAGTTCTGTAAGTGAATCATGCTATTTATGTAATATTTTCCGTTCTTTTATTGTTAGGATTTAATATAAGGTTCTATTTATGTTCTATCATAAAAAAATCTTCAGAAAATTTCTTTCCTTCAGTACAGCCTATTAAAAATCCACTGCCGAACACAGGCTTCCCCTACATAGATTGCCTCATAGTTGTAATTTTGTCGAGTTATCGGAAAAATGCTGCTGCCCATTTACTGTTTCAAATATTTCTGTCGCCACTTGCGACAGTCACGGGATGATACGGAATAATTGCTTCTGTCACTAAACTATGCAATTATCCTAGTAATTGAAAATTGTGTATAATTTTTTAAGAAAGCTCCTAGTGTGGACTTAGCATACAAATCCATGAAATAATACTAGGGATGCAGTAAAAGTGAACAATTTCAACTTATTAGCTCTTTCCATAAAGTTTAATAAAATTAATAATTTTTCTTTTTTTTATATTTATCGAATACTACACATTAAATGAAACTAATTTTACCGGATTTTATTGCGTTTAATTTTAATTTATTAATTCCCGACGTTTCGGGTACTTTAAAGTCCCATGGTCACGAGATGGACTGAAGTGTTTGACGTTCCGATGTCATAATAAGCCAGGCTACCTTTAACTTTTGATTCAAAAGGATAACGTCGGAATAAAATCCGTAAAACTAGTTTCATTTAACACTAGAAACATTGATTTTTGTCTTTATTACTTCTTTATAATTTTTAAAAAAGATGCTCGCAAACGTACTTCAGTTTCATATTTAAATTAGAGGCCGTTTTGTTTTGTTTTGAATTATTTTATGCTTTGCGTTTATTGTTCTCTCTATATTTTGTATATGTTGAAAGAATTTTTCATTTCGACGAGCGAGCGGCGTGCCTTCAGTTGTGTATGGTGGCGGACTTGCGTGTTGCAGCCAAGTGCGTGATCCCGTGCCTGGGCGGCGGGCGGTGCCGCGGCGTGAACCGGTGCCGCTGCCCGGCGGGGCTGGGCGGCCGCCACTGCGAGGTGGGGCGGCGCGGCGACTGCGCGCGCCCCTGCCGCCACGGCACCTGCCGCCAGGGCGCATGCGTCTGCGAGCCCGGCTGGCGCGGCCGCTACTGCCACCGCACGCACGGTACCTGCCACTGCCGCCTGCCACTGCCACCTGCCACCCGCCACCCCTGCTCCTCCACGTACACACGTACACGGCACAGCCTTCACATGTGCTATAGTCAATTCATAGGCAAACACCTCTATGTATATTAGACCGGCAATTTAGAACAAAAACTGAATCACAGCTGTGGCTCGCGCGGGTACTTGACACGATAAATATGCCACGAAGTTGTATTTACATTTACGACAGTTACTGTTTTTAGGGTTCCGTACCTCAAAAGGAAAAAAACGGAACCCTTATAGGATCACTTTGTTGTCCGTCTGTCTATCTGTCTGTATGTCTGTAAAGACCCTTTCTCTCAGGAATGCGTGGAGGTATCAAGCTGAAATTCATATCAAATACTCAAATCTACTGTCCCTTGGAGCCGTGAAAAAATCAAACTTCTAAGCCAACGCAATCAAAAGATACAGTCGTTTATGCCGTAAATTTTCGACATTCGCAAGGGAATCAAAATCTACAGGGTACTTGCCGTGAACTCAGAATCTTGAAATTTGGTACGAAACAACGTTTTATAGCACAGATAAAGAAAAAATTGCGAAAAGCATAAATTTTTAGTTACATCATATAATAAAAATATTTTTAATAATTTTAAACTTATATACCTACAGATTTGTTCGGAACCCTCGGTGCACAAGTCCGACTCGCACTTTGCCGGTTTTTTTTATTATGAATATAAATAATAATATGCGCAAAATGCATGTATATGTAGCTTTAGAGGCTACAGTCACTTGATGCTCGGATCTCTCGACTCGTGCCGCTACCTATACAACTCATGGTGGTCTTGCCACATTGACCGCCAGCCGTTTGCTCGGGTCTAGGATTTTTTTGAAAAATGGACCGCGATCTTTCATTTATTATCAATTCAATCCACAAGTTCACAACTGGTTTAACTTAAGGCGAGGATTTCCTACCTTCTCCGCTGCATGCATAATTATTGTCCAGCATGAAGTAAATGTGCGACATTCGGCGGACAAATAGTTACTTTTATTTCAAACATTTTGGTTGTTAGGAAATAACGGATCTAAATAAAAATATACATTATGAACATTCTAATTCAATAACACACCTTTCATATTAATGAAAAATATTATATAGTTCGCTTAATAAAGAGAGAACTCGAACGTCGGTTTTTTCCCCGACAATAAAACTATATTTTTTTAGTACGATTAATATATTAAGATATAAAATTTGTTCATCGCATTTTTTCGAGTATAATATACTACATATTTCCAGAAGTATCAATTCTCGCACGTCAAAATCATCTCTGAAATCGCGCTAAACGCACGCAGGCACGCACGCACTCACACTCTCTCTCTCTCTCTCTCTCTCTCTCTCTCTCTCTCACACACACACACACACACACACACACACACGAGCGCACGACGCACGCACGCACGTACACGCACGCGCACACGCACACACACGCACACACACGCACACACGCACACACACGCACACACATACAAGCAACTACACGAGTAAAGAAACTCAAGGAATCCTTAACTCATGTGCCACTACTTACGTCGCACTCATAGAGTAGAGTAATATTATACCGGTCGCACTTGAGTTCCGTATACGTGAACAGTAGGATGTTATGTCACATGTTACGTGACCGCGCCCGCCGTCGCGCTCTGGAATCGTTGTAAACATGCACGAAGGATATTCTTTCCTCCCAATTCAAAAGTATTCTTTTGTCTCTAAATTCAACTAATGATAAAATAATTTAAATATAAGTATAATGTCAAATGCCAGTTTCAAAAGTTGTGTGCACCGTGAAATGTATCTTTGTAGAATTTTTTCATACTGCTTTAAGACCCTTTAATAATAATAGTTAATGTATTTGCAGGTTCTTCAGAAGAATCCGGTGAATTTAAAAGACCACGGTAAAGGATAAAATAGGAGTAATTATACTTAATGTACATTCTTATTGATGCAATTATTACACTGATAAAGTACATTGTAAAAAATATTTACTTACTTAATTGTCATGTGATTTAATTAAATTAATTACATCTCTATTTACTAAATGTAATATTGTTAAAATTAGTCATTTAGGACATAAGAATTAATCTAAGTTTAGAGTTAAATTATTCAATATAATAAAATAATCTATACATTTTTGTGCTGGTTTATTTGTGTTGATAATCCCTTACATTTTACCTCGCCTTTCTACTTTCCAAGTAAAAAAAGTCATTCAATATTGAAAAATAGAATCAGTGAGTACACTGATCCAATTTTTCTATATTGCTTATCATGTATACAATTAATATTTTGCAGAATGTTCAGAAAGTATTTTGGTTATAGAACAATTTTTTTTTCATGTATTATAATATACATCAAAATTTGAAACGAAAATTATTCAACCAGTCCATGTTGCTAGTGGTGACATATGGATCTGAGATGTGATCCTTCACTGATGACCGTATGAGAAAGCTCAAGGTCCCACAGCGAGCTATGGAGAGGGCTATACTCACTTACTTTGCGTGAAAGACTTAGAAATGAGGATATCTACAGTAGAACCAGAGTTCGTTAGAGTAGAACTATAGCCCAATGGTTAAGTAAGCTATAGTACCAATGGGCCAGCCATATAGCTCGAAGGACCGTCAATTGATAGGCAAGGTTTTCGAGTAGTTCTCGTACCAGTAAGCAAAGTGTAATTGGCACGCCACTAGATGGAGGAAGAACCTGGGTAAGGAAAATACTACTAAAACTTTTAGTCACAAAGGTGGTTGTCATTGTAGTGGATTATCATCTTAAAATTTTCAAACCCAACGATGATTAAAAACATAAATTCCTAATAATATTTTCAAGAGCAAAACAATAGAGTGCATTAAGTGAACGAAGTAGATATATATAGAAAACTTTTTAATTTGAAAAAACAAGAAACAATTACAAATAAACAAAGTTTATGTGTTTATAGTCTGATCATTAAAATAGTGTCGGTACACTCGGAGGCTAACTTATTATTATCACTTATTAAGATATGAATATAAATAATGAACACAAGTTAGGTAGCATAGAACCTTTTACTACGGCGCTTCGTTTTAAAGTGCCAAATTTTCCTGCGGGTGTACGCCACACGCGGCGACCATTGATGTCGAGGCGGCACCTTTGACAAGATGCAACACGTGCCATGGCGGCGCGACACAAAGGCAACCGTATCTAAGCAAACAGACTATAATATAACGGCGGCTCTTCACGTTGGCCAACACACTGGCGAATGTGTTGGCCAACAACGATGGCCATCGTGTAGAGCGGGTGTTTAAGCTACGTTGGTACGTAATGGAACGATGGCCTACAAGTTGGCGCGAGATCGGTCTGGTGTCGGTTTTTTACAAAAGATCAAAAGGTTGTGGCAGAGCATTGGCCGCCGCGTCCACACGTTGGGCGCACGTTCAGTTTGCTACGAGCTCCCAGAGTGATTACACGCACCTGATTTAAATTTTATATGCACGCATCGTAACTAGTGTCTACATAACGGCAGTAACAATGACCAATGAAAAAACTTTTCGCTTTATAGAGCCCTACCTAGCCGAAAATTGTTTGTAAAACACAAAACTTTAAAAAAAATGTTATTATACACTAGGATTTTCTCCTGTATCGTGGAGGCAGTTTAGAAACATAAATTGCATAAGGACAAACATCCAGACCCGGAGAAATTATGTGTAGGCTATACAAATACTTGTTCCGTGCGGGATTCGAACCCGCGGCCCCCAGGGCAGCAACTCATTGCTAAGCCACTACGCCACGGAGCCGTCAAGAAATAAAATTTCTTTTTTCGATCTTCTTTTTTAGGCTATTTGTAACACTAGTTAAATTATAGTTACTAACCACTAGTTAGTTAAGTTATATCACAGAATAAATTGGTTATATTATAATGACAAGTGAAGTTAGTCATATTTAATTGTGTTTGATAGCCTAAAAATAGTGTGGCAGAGCTATGCTGCAGCTTATAAGCACTATATTATGTTTGTAATTATTAATTAATTAGTTGTTTTATTGATAAATGTGGGTGTCTATGGGCCACAGTGTCCACTTACCATCAGGTGGACTGTGCTCATTTGTCACCCTTATTCTATATAGAAAAGAGCCAAGGCTATATATACCGATTCATTGATATTTCAATAAAACTGGCGCCATTCTCAACACGTGCATCCAGCGAGACGTACACTCTCATACTGAACGGCAGGCGTGTGTGTAGAGACACCTCCGATATTGCTCCGATCACTGTGCTCCCTAGATTGCCCCTGTGGCAGGCATGTCAGTAGGCGCCTTAAGGTGCCTTAGAATCAACTAATTTTGTTTTACAATGTTTTTGAGATTAGATGGCAGATTTTTATGGCACACAATGACGCCGTAATAGATTCCGTATGTGTGTGGCCGACCCGTTCGGAATTCCGTATGTATGTGGCCGACCTAAAGCTTGTGAGGAATTACTGTATAACTGCCTCATATTAAAAATTTTGTCCTAGAATTACTATAGAAATTTAATGAAATTTAGATCTGCAAAATATCATTATTACATGAGATAGAAGACATTGCACTTGGCAGTCTTGCATTTACTCTTATATACAAAGAATTTAAAACCTTTATTTGTATGTTTTTATTATTATTCTCCTACCTGTTGTTTGTAAAATTATATAAGTTTGTTTAAATTATATAAGCCTACAACTTTAATTGCACAGCATTGTTAATACAATAGAAAACATAAATCTACCTAACATGAATGTACCTATAGCAATAGAGTTATTTTGGATAAGATTTCACCTGACTGCCAGAGGAGGCTTGTTTTTGAGGTATGTGTATAGGTTTATATAAGTAGATTTGTCTGTTCATTTGTAACTTCCTCAGACTTTCAACAGATTTGAAAGTGATAGATGTCATTAACTTTATTTTATTAAAGATATTATACACTATCTACATAGTTATTATTGACATCAATAATACACTCAGAAAACATAGTGTTTGTTTGAAACACATTCTGAGTTCTGACAAATATATTATTGTATGAGAAAAAAGCTTCCCGTGTCCCTATGATAGATAGGCAAGAGTCAAACAACATTTTGGTTTGATCAAAAATATAAAATTTGACTCAAGCAGTTTATAAATCTCCAGGGGCATTAATAAAATAACAGTTTAAAAAAAGAATGAAATATTTTTATTAAAACACCTAAACACCTACATAATTGCATGTTACAGCCTATCATAGGCTTCCCCAGCAGGCGACAGTAGCCTAATGGTAGGCTGGGGACTGCAAACTCAATAGGTTGTGGGTTCGATTTCACCACTAGTTTTATTTCTTTCCTTTGCCTCTTACGACACTCACGGGACAACATGGGATAGTGGATATTCTTACACCTCCACTAAACAATTGACATAATTACATAATTGTACCACATGTATTATAATACCAATTGATTCTGCCAGCATCAAGTATTTCAGGGAAGCCACACAGTGTATTAGACTATACTTTGCTAGAAAGTTTCCATAGATAGGTTTGCTTTACTCTAAGTTATGTATCAACAAGTTATTATATCAGCCACTCACTAAGTAGTTCCTAAACATGTTTTACTTATGAGACATATAAGTTAAAATTGAGAGAATAAGGAATAGAAAAAAATATAAAATGATAAAACTAAAATACAGTGTATTAAAAGTAAACATTTATAAAAAAAAACAAAAATGTAAATTCTTGAAATAATATTGTCATAATAGTTCATAAAATCAGAAATCACATAAATAACAGAATCATTTAGGTAATTATCTGTAAAACTTTACAACTGCAGCTCATTGCAGTCGGGCTTTATGTTGTTTTTATTAATGATCTTGTTTGTAAAAATAATGCTAGCAATAGTTAACCTATACAAAAATACATTTTAGTAATTAAGTTTACAATTGCATGTAACTACTTCTTCACAAGCATTATTAATTAATAGTTTTATGTACTGAAAACCCAATTATTATATGAAAAAGGGTGTTTTAAATGAAATTGTGTCATGTTTTGCTTCTACAGCAAATGCAAATTGAACTAATAAAATCTAACAGTACAATAAAAAGCTATTAGTACTAATAAAATTAAATTACATTGATAAATATGAAATATTGGTTTTATCCTTAATTGTTATAACTACATTGTTTAAAAGGAAATTAAAATTTTGTAGATAAATTAGATATCTAAGTAGTTACGATTTCTCTAAATATGCAATATAAAAACTTAAAAAATAAACTTACTTCTTATTATCCGAGATATACTGTTATCCCACATGTACAAGACAATAGTTACTACACCACCTAAGATTTCAGTATCAGCTATCAGTATATAGTGTATAATCTATGACTTACGAAAACAATTTTTCACCATACCTACACACATTACAAAACAACTTTTCATATCTGAAATATTTACAATTTCACTTGTCAAATTTAGTTCCTGGAAAATTGTGTAGTTAGCGCCACTAGTGACATGATCAATGTTTTCGAAAATAAACTTGGAATTTTTCCTGAACACTCATCTCACACATACAACTTTAATTACTAATATTAGTTACAAAATTTGGCAGCAAATTTAGGTGAGTTTTATAAATAAGCGACCATTTTTAAGTTAGTACTTACAACATTACAAATTCGATCCCCCCTCAACCCGAGAGGCGATTTCCCTTTCCATGTGAAAAGAAAATCCACACCGCGCAGACTCGTACAAAATGGCGCCCTGTAGATATGAATACAATGTTCGGATATCGGGTTTGCCGATCGATATCAATGGAGGACTCGCGTTTTTCGGGGTCTACTGTGTACTTCGTGCAATTTGTGAATACAGTGTCCTGTTAAGTGAAAAAGTACTGAAAAGTGTAGTTTTAGACCGGTTACATCACAACAAACTCACGGAGCTTTTAAAAGGATTACAAAATGTCTTTCAAATCACGCAGGTGCGTACGCAGTCGTAGTCTTTCTATGCTGTCTGGGCCTGCTCGAACGCGCGACCCCTTCATGATGGCCATTCATTTGGGCTTATCCTTTACGCCGCCGCAAAAGAGTTTGTGTCATTCGTCTTCAAAATTATTGCACTGCGCTAAACCGCTTCAAGTTGCATCTAAACAAAAACACGAATCAATATGCGTCATTTTGAGATGCATAATTGTGGTTTTAAAAAAATAGGTACTTCTGGTTTAGTACTGAAAGAATGATGGTCATTACTAAGGGAAATACTACTGGAAAACATTACGCTCTTAAGACTTAGTCCCTTTTCTTCACCCTTTTCTAGGATATTCTGTTTCGTCATTTTCCCTAAAGTAAAGACAAGTATTGATTTTTCGTTTAAGACTTGCTGTCCACACAACAAATCTTTCTTTTAAGGAATAGCAATTCTTATAAATTCGAATAACATATTTAGTTTACAGCTTTAAAGCAACAAATCCTTTTGATTTAATACTAGTCCTTTTGATTTAATTAAATACATTTGTAGATTTGAGAACTTCTATTGAGTTTTTGCGATATTGATTTTATACATATATTTTCTAGTATATAGGTACCTACAGAGGCCTTATAAAGGTCAGAGGTCATGCATAAGAATTTGGTTCCATCTTGACATTGTTAAATCTTTGCTTTTGTTAATTCTACAAAATTTTGGGAGCTTCATAATAAGCTTACAAACATCTAAAGTTATTTATTTAAAGCTTATTTAACTTGCAATATTTGTATGTTTGTTAGGGTCAAATCTCGCAACTGAATTTCAAAACAGTTATTCTCAATCGATTGAGCTGAAACTTTAATATTGTGGTTACACCTTGTTACATCATTTTAAAAATATAATGTATAAACCTATATCTAATATCTACCTATTTAACATACATTATTGTTAATTGATAAAAATATGTCAGGACATTATGAAATTTTGTAGCAAATATCAAAAAGAAAAAATAAGACAATTTAACATGGTTCAAAATGTACTTTAATAAAATCATTTATGATGGATGTTTTCTGCTCAGTAGGAGTGGACGATACAAATCGTATATATATACAATATCTATATGTTAGTACCAAATTCAATATCTATATATTGGACGACAAACTAATTATGTATTAGATATTACGATCATTGCAGAATATCTAATATCTACTCAAAACGAAACGTAAAATATCTAAATATATAAATTGATTTGGCAAATAAATATTACAATTGTTATTTTTCGACAAAATTTAAGTGTAATAAATTAAAATAATGTAATAGCACCATCTACTTCATTCTATGCGTAAAGTGATTTTATCAAACAATAATTGATTAACTCTCAAAGTGGTATGTACAATAGATGCTAGATGGCATAAACACGACACAATTTAATTTAATATTCTATATCATTATCTCGCAGGCTAAATCCTATTGATATATATGTCACTTTTTAATATTATGAGATACTTTAAGAATACTTAGATTACATAAACAATACAATAAATATATATATGAAAATTCATTTATAAATTGTGTATCACCATGTGATATTGAGCACTGACTTCTATTCAGAACGAAGATATCAACAAATATCTAAATATTGAAATAAATAGATACAATATTGGATATTCATATCTAATATATAGGTTCTATACGTGGTAGAGCCATGCTGCAGCTATATTATAGTTGTAGCACGAATGGGTCGGCTCGACCGGGGAAGCACCACGCTCTCACAAAATACCAGCGTAAAATAGCAGCTTAACGCTGCTGTGTTTCGTATGGTGAGTGTAGAGAACCGGAGACCCTTTTTACTGGAAACGAGGCATTCCATCTTAGTCCTCACGGGTGACAACGCATCTGCATTTTGATTCTTAATCGAAGATAGATGTAGATGTCTATGGGCCACAGCAACCACTTACCATCAGGTGGTCTGTGTGCTCGTTTGTCACCCTTATCCTATAAAAAAAAAAAAAAAAAAAAAAGGTATGATTTGATATAGAGTAAAAGTGATATTACCCATGCCTACTGCTCAGTAACACGAAAGGAGCTGAATAGATTTAATCAAAATTTGGTAGAGAAATATATGTTTATGTCATAGAATAAGGTATAGACAAGATATCTTTTTGTGACATTGTCACATGGGATATGGAACTCTTTGGTTTTCAGACATCTCTTAATTGGAAAAATTCCATTAGAGCAAAGCCAAGGGAAGAAATACCTATTAAAAATAAAAATTATTACAACATCACAACTTATTAGTCTCTTTTGATGGAAAACTTATACCACAATCAAAAAAATATATTACATTACTGACTTTTGTCCCTATAGAAATTTAATAAATCTGTCTATACTGAGTGACGATAAAGTCATCACATTAAATGAAAAAACGTGTCCTACATAAATTTTTTTACATAATACATACATAACTTAAAAAATTTATATAAATTAAAATATTTTTTTCGTATTAATATTAAATAACATTGTGTAAATGCATACAGATATCACCTGATGAATACTATAAGGTCAAAGACCCATGGCATTTGAAGGCTATATACATAATTTAAACGTTGCGAATTTGAATTACTCAAATAAAGAAAAAATGTACTTACGGCTAACAATTTGAGGCATAATTTTATAAATCGCGCGAAATCAAAAACAAAGGGACCGTGCCCTGCGGGTGTGTGAAAACAAATCCAAGCTAAAAATTTACTTAAAATAAAGTACTTAAGGCATTATTCTCTTTGCGCGAAATGACAAGAAATGGGACGAACAGACATATATCAACTTGTATTAACTGCTATGCTATTTAACGTGATAACACAACCCAGTATAACCTGTCATTCATTCATTGCCGATAAACTGGCTTAGAGTTTGGCAAAATTTAATTAAATAGTAAATAATGTACACTCTTTATAAGAATAAATAAAGAAATAATCGACCGGGAAGGACCATGCTCTCACAGAATACCGGCGTAAAATAGCAGCTCAACGCTGCTGTGTTTTGTATGGTGAGTTTAGAGAACCGTTAGATATCTCGCACCTTTGACGCTGCTTGCTAGTATTTACATTTTTGTCAGATGAGAGATTGTACACTGGAACCACCATCTATTGGAGTTCACGACTTTGTGTTTGGACTTTGTCATAATCAGTTCTTATGCTACCTACAGGACGAAATCGGACGATAAATTCTTTTACATTACCACTACACGACAAGCAATAAATATAGAAAAATAATATTTTAGTAATTTTAACTAAACTCTCAATACTCCACAGGTAACTTTATCAAAACCAGTGGAACTTGGTACACAAGAAAAGTGCGCAAGCTGTCAGGCCATCGGGCTACCCAATGGTCCAGGAGGTGAATTGCCGTGAAGACGACGGTGACACAGATTACGGCAATATGAATTCCGCTGTTAGCACCGAGTCCATGGACATGGCTGAAGAGGTACATGTTCATAGCATAATTCTTTAATAAATAAAAAGTTAAATTAAAAATACTCTCTGACAAGGGATATATATAACCCTCTGCAGCAGACGAGTTTTATCTAATTTCTTATAGGTCTAAACAGTCAATATTTTTTGTACAAGTTTGCTGCTATAGTGTCGACTACAACATGTTGCTAAATTCTTAATTTCTTATACCTATATTCAAAGGAGCAAACTTTTCGCGAGTTTTCACTTTACAACTGACAATGTGGTCACAATAATCATGATTTCAAATTGCAATGAATAATATCAATGGTGCTGATGGAGATCAAATTCCGCTTGCTCGAGCTTGAGGAAAAGATTGTCTTATTGGAAGTTAGGTGTGGAGAAAAATCATAGTACTTGAGTGCTCGATTGTTTTTTTAAAATGTAGAAACCCATCATTAATTAAAACTATTTCATCTATATAAAATATGAAGTCTGCCAAAAACATTGGGCCAATGTGGCTATTTCCTTGCTCCAAAATCCATTCAGGAATGAAAGAGCAGGGAGACCTGTTTTATCTTCATTCATGTTCTGTCCATCCATAGCAGTGAGATAATACAATCTGTTAAAACTAGTTTTATTTAAATGTGTAGAGTTCGCGTCAACCAGAAATCAATACGAAAGAATGTGGGTCTGTAGTTATCATCCCTATCTGTAGATAGCCCCCTTATTAGACAATCTATGGGGGATGCCTACTTTCAGCAGAGGATATTAATAGCCTGTAATGGTAATGATAACGGTTGTTCCGCAGGAGATGTCCCAGGTGGACGGATGCGGGATGAGCGGCGGCTCGGAGGACGAGGACGAGTGCGTGTCGTCGCCGGCCGGCTCGGCGTACGACGACGGCGGTGACGTCATCAAGAACGCCATGAGCGACGAGGTCACCAAGCAGCTGGCTGCCGCTGGTGAGTCCACACTTCTACAAGGATAATGAGCCCTCTAAGGATTTCGCTTTGTTAGATTTTTTC